TTTTATTTTATTATTTAAGATTTTAAGATTTTTTTTTATGTTTTATAACTCATTAACTAAATTATGAAATGTATTAACCAACCTTATAAATACCATTAATCAAATTTAATTTAAGTAAGACTTTATTTTTTATATATATCAGATTCTCAATAATCAAATTATAAAAAATATTAACTAACTTATTATACTCAATTAATCAACTTTACTTTTACACTTTAAAATCATATTAGTATAAAAACACATATTAACTAACTATAAATTATATAAACAAAGTTCTTGTGTATATTTAATCAAAGTGTTTTTGAAGAGAGAAAAAGGAAAAATGTTGAAAAGTCAAAATTACAATGGTCACCATTCACATTATTTGTGAAAAATATATAAGGTGTAGGTATCAATTTTAGTGTCAAAATAGGATTAATGATTTATTCAACTATCAAAAGTTAGCTAAATTTAATTTGTCTTTTGTTGTATTTGACTAACCAGTTAAAATGTTTTAAATATAAATAATGATAAACATTTTTGGGTATTGTTATTTCAAACAAAATGTACTTGTTTTATCTCCTATTGAATCCTTTTATTTAATTATTTTGATTAATTTATCTGTTTTTTTTTCTTCTTTTTAAACAGATTTGGGAGTTCTTGGTGATCCTATAGGTTCAAGATTAGTTAAAGGATTAAACCTTGATGGAGAATTTGAAAGCGACAGCGATGGTACACAAGCAGGCTTCTTACCTATTATAAGTTCAGAAGAAGAAATATCCACACATGAAGTTGGAGCTGAAAAAGATCTTATGAATCTAAAGAATTTTTAGTGAATAGGATGTTTATATTATAAAGTTTAATATTTTTTTGATAAGCAAAATGCAACACTGATTAGTACAAAGAGATGTCAAAAGAGACAAGAATACAAGAAAATCTTCAACAAGAGGGAGGAGAGAAATTAAATTATATTGTTGTTGTCTTGTCGAAAAAATACTTTAATCTTTTATGAGATACTGAAGATAAAAGATGGTATACTCTTAAATGCTTTTCTAAGTTTTTATCAAAGCTTTCCAGTTTATTTTGGTATACTCTTAAAGTGCTTAAGCTTAACTTTGTTAGAAAGGATGGAACCTTTTTTGACATGTGAAAAAAACCTAGTTTCTTATCATTAAGACTAATTGAGAGATGATCATGTTGGATAAGACATTAATTCAGTTGCAAAATTTGTTGTTGAAACCAAAAGACTTCAGGACTTTAAGAATAAACTATTAGTTTATCTATCTTAAGAGCAACATTACCACCAAAGCTCTTCTTATCAAGAAGATTGATAGCTTCTGAGACAAGGCATATCCAACCCCTTATCTTTCTGCCAATAATGAATCCCTTTTGCTTAGAAGATATTAAGGAAGGAAGCATGACAACCAGTCTATCCACTAAGGTTTTGGTAATGATTTTATGCTTAAAGTTAGGTAGTAAAATTGGTCTAAATTGGTCTAAGGTTTCAACATTTTGACATTATGGATAAGGACAATGGTTTTGGAATTATAGTAAGGGAGGATCTGTCAAGAAAATCGACTTGATATTTTTCTCTATTGCATTCCATTGTCTAATTTAATGATAAATTATAATGACAAGTATTCTATTGTCTAATTTACCTAACTTATTATAGGAACTTAAATAATTTACAATAAAAGATAAGATCAATTCTTAATTAATACCCCCTTAAATTGATGCGGCTAATCAATAAGTATAAATTTGCTAACAAGAAACTGATGGCGTGAGCGCGAAATAACTTTAGTAAGAATATATGCAACCTGAAGCAGGGTATTGACGTGAGGAAGTGCTATAAGTCGGTCATCATATAAATCACAGATTCAATGACAATCAACTTTGATATGTTTGGTGTGTTCCTAAAAGACGGGATTTGCAATAATTTCCGAGCAAGAAGTAGACATGGCGTGATACTCAAATTCAGTGAGGATTTAAAGATTCTTACTTGCTTCTTACTTTTCCTTGAGATCAACGAAGAACCAAAGAAACATGCACCAACCAGTGACAGATCGACGAGTGTTCGGACATCCTGCCCAATCGACATCACTATAAGCACTCAATTTGGGAGCTATTCAGGTAGAAAAAAATAGACGACGGTGAGAGGTTCCTTTCAAATAACGAATTATACGATAAACCACTTCCAAATGAAGGTGTCGAGGAGAATGCATGAAGTGACTTACTTGCTGAACAATAAAAGATATGTTTGGTCGAGTAATAGTCAATACAATAAAGGGTCAGACAAAACATCACCATCATCACGATGATATTTAATATTAACCTCAAGAGGGGTATCCACTGGATTAGCTAATTCGAGACCAATCATAGAAATAAATTTTTTGGCATACTTGTGTTGATGGAGGAAGGTTCTCTTGGATGTAGAATGAATCTCAAGACCAAGAAAATAATGTAGATTACCAAGATCTTTCATGTGAAATAAGGCCTGTAATTGTTGCTTAAGCCCTTGAATGTAAGTATGATCAAAATCAGTCATAATCATATCATCAACATGAAAAAGAAGCAGAACAATACCCGCAAATGTGCTATGAATAAATAAAGAGGAATCATACTGACTTTGTGTAAAGGAGAACCCAAGTAGAGTGGAACGGAATTTCTCATACCATGCTCTGGGTATTTGTTTCAAACCATATAAAAAGCTTTTAAGCTTGCAAACACCCTTGGATGAAGAGAACATACCTCGAGGAGGTGTCATATAGATATCTTCATTCAGGTTACCAAGATTAATATCATTCTTCACAT